AATACTCTCCTGTAAGGGCGTCTGAATGGGGCACTTCTACAAATGCATATGCAATAAGGTCAGCCACACAGATGTCTACATGGCCTTTACATCGCTAATTTTTCACTGCACGTCTTTAGTAAATCCTGACAGCAGTTTTTTAACGCCAAAAGAGGGTTTGCACTGGCACAAGCTGTTAGAAAATCTGGCCCTAAATTTATGCAACTGCCCCCTGGTGTCAGAGCAGTGGTGCAGTGGACACATGGGGAGCAGGGTTTGAGTCCTGATCCCGTTCACCCTTCCTCATCCATACTTTTGTGTCTACACATCTTTTAGTTAAAATCAAAGGTTTCTCCTGACACAGAATTGAGAGCCAAAGTAGAGGAGACCTGGGGTCACATGCAGTTTAAAAAGTCCTAATTCTTCTAGAGGACACTAGATCTGAATAGCCACATGCAATCAAGGAATTTAAATCTTTAGCAGTTGTTATGAGATAGAGTAGTGCACGATTCATTCCAAACATGTGAACTAAGAAGATACTGATGAAGTTAGGAATATATCTGTACTCTCATTCATTAGGCCTTGAATGGCAAAAACTCTTAAGTGATGCTTTAATTAGAAAACAGCTTCAGCTAAGAGATCTTACCTACATTCAGCACTACACCAACCAAGCACATCGTCTTTAGTGAGGCGACAATAAAAATGAGAAGAATCACAAGTTTCTTTGGTTGAATGAATAATAATCTCCATGTTTAGGTGCATCCTACCTGCTAAAGGCAGACAACCGATGAGGATGAGGAGGGATCCTTTAGATTTCATCATGATGATGCGTCTCCCTCTGATCACCAAAAAGCTACGAGATTCAACCTTTCCTATTTTTCCAGATCAAATCGAGCAGTTTCCCTTTCCTAATTCCAGGCATGTAATATTGAGTATAAAGGAGTCAGAATCTAAATGGACGCGACTATGAAACTCCTACAGCTTTTGGTTTGCTGTTGTCTAGAGCTGAAATCACAATAGGATTGTGGTGGGCTTTGACTGGCTTGGACTCCACCCTGGCGGTTTAATTTGATTTAGTGGCGATTACTTGAGAACTGAACTGGAGTCAGGGCCTAAATTAAAGGCCAATTCACACTGCACCGACAGACACAGATCCAACAAGTCCCCACAAGAACAGATTCAACATGATCAATCGACGAAAACAAATGCTGATCAGACAAAGCCCAGCGGATGTCTGCATCTGTCAGTGCAGTGTGAATTGGCCGATAGAAAACACAGAACATCTGACATCTTTTTTTATGACAGGCAAATAATACATTTTCATAATTGTTATAATCAGGTGCCACCCCTACTATAGCTTAAAAAGGAGTGTATATGTGTGTTTGTGAGCACAACAACGAACAAATGCACAGCCTGTTCGTTCCAAATTACAGGCATGCAGAGCAGCAGGGAAATCAAATGACAGCAACCTTGTGACACAAGCGTGACACACAGTCACGATAAACGGTTTGCTAGTGATTATGCCAAAGGCACACACAAACACACACCAATGCAAATCTCAGACACAGCATGAAGATATTTCAGAGTCGCCTCTACTGGACTGACACTACTCACTCCCAACAGAGTCATGCACATACATGTGGAGCCAAAGATGACATGACTGTGTGGCTTACGTGAGGCTGTTTGCTGGTTTTGCTTGAGAAACAAGGGATGGACAGATGGTCTGTTCTTTAATCCCGCCTATCCTCTGCTATTCTCTGTCTCGATCTGTTGCTCCATTCCCCTGGAGTCGTGGCTGTGTCATTTTGAGCTGTCTGTGTATCAGTTGCCTCATGCCTACGGCCGAATCACGACCACGCTGCTATACAGTTATCACGTGTCACGTTTCCCGGGCCTAAAAGCTTCTTCAGATCCTAAAAACAAACAAGAAAAGGTGCTACTATACACTCCCTGCTGTACTACTACCGACAAATCCTAACCACAGGCAGCGATTCATTTTTAAAAAAACATTCAAGTGCTAGTGTCACTGTGGTAAAACAACGGTTTTAAATGATCAGCGGAAAATAGTGCTCATGAACAGAGGTTGAGGTAGCATTATTCGATACCTCACAACTTAACAAGCAGATTCAGACCCACAGCATGGCTAAGGATTAATTAGACTATAGGATTTGGTTTACTTCACAGCCATGAACCAATGTTGCTGCTTGTCAGTGGCAGCTAATATTACAGGGAGTGATATTCATTTGTGAGAGCTTTTTATTGTGCATTTTATTGTACAAATTTGGACACACCCGCAAGTGCATAAGTGAGCATGAGAGAGCATTTTCAGTCCGATTTTCAAGGACAGTAACGGTGATGATACATGGAGAAATGTTTCCATAAGACTGGAAATTTGAAATGTGTTATCTGCTAAAAGCTTTTTTATCAGCTTAGAAGTACACCCTGTACACGGGAACAAAAAGCCACAGAACCCATATATGAATTTCATGCGGTCTATAAACTTTTACCAATTCTTAAAAACCACCCATTCCATGTATGAGGACTGATGAAGCACACATAATGCATCATGCACAATGAGTGAGAAAACGTTTTACACAACGTTTTGTGTATTTAGGACCCTCAAGAGTTTCCCATTAATTACCTAGACTGTGGCGACCCATATAATTTGTCCTGTCACAGATTCATAATGAAGTTTTGATCTCTAAAATTGTGTTTTGCGATGACAACTTTTAGTCGAAATCATAATAAAATAAACTATTAAAAAAAACATGAAATCACGAGCTTAGTAATAATGCATCATGCACAATGAGTGAGAAAACGTTTTACAACGTTTTGTGTATTTAGGACCCTCAAGAGTTTCCCATTAATTACCTAGACTGTGGCGACCCATATAATTTGTCCTGTCACAGATTCATAATGAAGTTTTGATCTCTAAAATTGTGTTTTGCGATGACAACTTTTAGTCGAAATCATAATAAAATAAACTATTAAAAAAAACATGAAATCACGAGCTTAGTACCAAAGGAGGGTAATAGTGCTACATTTATTCTGTTACATTTGTCTAAATCACTTTTTTGGAAACCATGTAGGCCTAATTTATAGAGTTTTAGAGATTTTACTCTTCTAATGACAAAAATGTACTGTAACTTTGTAACACTGGCTGATGTAATTCTTGTTACTTCATTTTAATGCAATAAAGGTTAATAAATGCATAGTTTTCGCCAAGGGCATTGTTAGACTTTTTTACTGGGGCATGAGCGATGCTCCATTCGTTTTAACATCTGTTCATCTGATAAATGCTTTATTGACTTCATCATTATCATCATCATCTTGCTTGCTGTGATATCAGATCCAAAGTACTTGTTTCCTTCAATAGCCTACTTTTTATTTAGTATAGTATGAATCTATTATAGTACTAATTCATTTTCCCTTTATGGCAGTTACTGAGACTATTATAAATTAAAAGATGTTTGAGTCCACTTTAAATTTCAGCAGGGGTGTTTCCTCCAAGGGGACGACAAAATAATCCATAGCACAAAAATAAAACAATGCAAATATTACAAAATATGACATTAAAGGGGTCATATGATGCAATTTCAGTTTTTCCTTTCTCTTTGAAGTGTTACAAGCTCTTGGTGCATAAAGAAGATCTGTAAAGTTGCAAAGACTAAAGTCTCAAATCCAAAGAGATATTCTTTATAAAAGTTAAAGAGTCAGTCACACCTACCTAAAACGGCTCGTTCTAACACGCCCCCACAT